GAAAAATGAGCCTTGTGAAATGAGGTGGTGTTGAAGCTTGTCTTCATGTTGTTTCCTGATGGTGTTTTTGTAATTGTCATATTGTACATTTTTGTGATTGCTAGTATCCTTCCAAAGGTTATTGATCGCTTCATTTGGCGACGACTTTAGGCCTTTCCGAGAAACAGTTAGGCATTGAAGGAATTTGGTTGAAGGTAGAATGATATTTAATCCAAATTTATTGTGGGGAAGTAGGACGTTACTAAGGGTTGCAGAAATAGGAAGTTTAAGCCATTTTCGGATATACGTGGACGCGATACTATCTAGTTTATCGTTAACCCAGGTTTTGCCTATATCAGAAACAGTGAAGTGCCAAGAGATTTTGGAAAGCACATAACGACTGCGGTATAAGAGAATTTTGTTTTTCGGATGTAATGGTAGCTAGATCATCAATTTCATTCAGGATACTAGTAAGTGTGTCATATACTTCAGATTTGTGATCTTCGTCGGACATGTTGAAACCAAAATAGCGACCTAAGTAGCGAAACGATTTACCAAGTTCAACACGTGGTACAAGACAGTTATTTATAAATAGTTTTGGGAGATATTGAATGGATTTGGTTACTTGTTTCCTAATGCCAAATGTTGAACATTTGTCTACACGTATTATCGTTTGAGCCCACTGACACCAGATTGTAAAGCGATTAAGGAGCATTTGGTTTTCTTTTTCTTGGCCGCTAACAACAGCCGCGTCGTCGGCAAACTGGAACCAATGAAGAGGATTTAATGGGGTACCGTTTTCGCTGGATTTCCAAAATCCAAGTTGACGGTATTTTTCCGATTTAATATGTTGGATAATGGTATTGAAAGACATGTTGAATAAAAGAGGACTGAGACAATCGCCTTGAAGGACGCCACGACCGACTGTAATGAAGGAAGTATTGAACTGTTCAGTTATTATGGAAGTTTGGAAATCAGTATAAAGGCTACTGACAAGATTCTTTATGTGATCGGGAATGTGGTGATATTCAAGGACTTCATAAATAAGGTTATTGTGGACTTCGCCGAATGCATTTTTGAGATCTAATAGTGTTATGATAAGTTATGGTTGTTTTACTCGCGCTTTATTAATGATATGTGCCAACTGTGCTGTGTGTTCTAGTGTTCCTGAGAGTTTTGGAGTGAAACCTTTCTGTATGTTCTGTTCAATGTAATTGTTTTCTGCAGGAAACTGAAATGTCCTGTTGCGAAGACATGATGTGAAAACTTTGAGTGGGACAGATTCGAGAGTAATGGGTCGAAAGTTCGCTGGGTTTGCTGTTTCTCCTTTCTTATGAATTAGAATCGTGCATGCTTTCTTCCATTCAGACGGGACAACACCGCAAGACCAGGCTGCGTGGATTATCTCAGTTAAGTACAAGCGTAAATAAGGACAGCGTTTAAAACAGATGATAGATATTTGATCAAGTGGACATGGTGAGCCAGACGGTTTCATTTTACGGATGACATTTGTAATCTCTTGATACAGTAGGTCGGGGGGTCAAGATTAAAAGGCGTCTGGGGAGACGCAAATTTTGGGATCCAACTGGGGATGTTGAATGTTTTAGTTGGGCTAATCGCGGACAATGTTTTGGTAAAATATGATGTACATTCTGCTAGGTTAAATGATGGAAATGAGCTAGTATTCTTTTTGAAAAATCGTTTAACGAAACCCCAGAAACTTTTACCAATCAGACTGTCGTGATCAATATTTGCAGACGCATGACTATCAGTGTTATTTTGGTCCGTAGTATTAGACTTATTAAGAAGGTTGCGCAGTTTCTTTGCAACAAACTTGATCTCCAAGATATCTCCGTTTTCTAATTTTAATTTCTTTAATGATTTTTTCAAATCTTTAGTTGAAAAGCTTTCATATTTTCTTTGGTATTGAACATCATTATGATTGTTGACATATCCAAAATTCTCGCTGAAATAGTTATAGACGACTGTTGCCATGGTGTTAATGTTATTATTTAAATCCCGCGGTGTGATTGGAAGATTTGAAAAAGTTAGTTTGAAAAAGTCGTTAGCAGTTGACCATTGTAATGGCGATTTGGGTAGTTTGATTCCTTTTTTTAAGTCAGGGAAGTTTTCTTGCGTGTTTATATGTGATATTTCAGGGTTAACTGAGTCTACATTATCCTCATTCTGATGTTCAGTTAATACTTCCGACATTTGTTGTTGTAGCTCGTCTTCAAGGTCATCAATAACTCTGCAGCTTCGTTGGTGCATTTTAAGACCGCGCGCCCCTTTGCAGACTTTACCACAGCAACATTTAACAGCCTTGTAAGATTTAACCGGCAAACATTCTTGTGAAGGGATTTCTATAGCAGGAATAGCATTTACTCTGGTTTCTTGCCCATGTTCCACTCTGCTTTTACAGCGCCACGAGTGACGGCCCAACGATATAAAATCCTTGCCACAAAATCCACATATTATTAGCGTTGAAAACAACGCAAGCAAGTTTACACGAATCATTGATTAATTAGAAGTATAAAAAAACAAAATGTGACGTTAGTACGATCAATTCAAGTAAAGTTTTTCGTTGAAACTAAGGACATGTACAGAGAACGTGTATACGCCACTGCTCGATGTCTAATAATAATAATAATAATAATAATAATAATAATAATAATAATAATAATAATAATAATAATAATAATAATAATAATAATAATAATAATAATAATAATAATAATAATAATAATAATAATAATAATAATTGGGATTGGGAACACCGGATGAGGACGAGTTGCACGGCAAGGAGGCCCGATCTGACGCTAGAGGACAGCAGAAAGAAAGAGAGAGGACAGCAGAAAGAAAGAGATTATGCTAATAGACATGGCATGTCCGTATGAGTCGAACAAAGACGGGAAAAGAGAAGAGAAGATAAGAAAGTACCAACAGCTTTGTTATGAATTACGGGAAAGACGGGAAAGATATAAAGTGAAAGTTATATCAGCGGTGATCGGCTGTTTAGGAGGAGGGATGAAAAGACTGAAAGATGATATAAGAGAGTTGTTTAACAACGAGAAAGATTTACACTGGATAAGTAGAGAAATGCAAAAGACTGTATTATGGGAAAGCGAGACAATTATGAGAAAAATACTATCTGGACTGTTGACATGAGGTGTCTTCGGATAATAGCTGACAAACGTTGATAGCTATATAATTCGCCTTGAAGTAAGAAGGGCACTGGCCAGTGTTACAATATGCTTTTAGAATTTTATTACGGTTTTATGAATTGTATAACTTAGTGGAAGCATCATTGTATTGTTGGTTAATTCTAAAAATAATAATAATAATAAAGAAGTAATGTTTTTACTTCCTTATTGCACATTATGGGAAAATCCGTGCTTTCACTTTATATAAGAAGACAGCAAGACACATATATGATGAGAATTGGTAAGATTCAAGGCAAGTCTGCTCTAATTGTCGATCTATATTATTGCTTTCATTGGCAAATGCTTTGCTTGTACGCCGTTTTATATTAGGTGTAGGTTTACCATGTTTTATACGATTATCATGTCTTATATTACTGATATTTATGAAGCGTTGTTCCTATAAAAAATGTCATTATGTGTGTAGTTGATATGTCATTTGAACATGACATTAAGGCTGTTGCACTAGCTCTTACACGGTGATACATGCACCGTCATACACATGCACAGTTACAAATGCACTGCAGTTACACACTTACACACATAATGTCCAACGGCCTTACTACTTCTATACATTACACCGTTCAAAGAGATATCGCCGCGAGCTGATTGGTCGAGTCTGACTTATGGCGCGACTCCCGGTGTGACGCACTGTCAGAGACAAACGGGCATGACTCACGCACAGACTCACAGTGTGACTCACGCTAAGCGTGACTCGCGCATTTCTCACGCACTGAAAAAGGTAAACAAAGAGATGCTTAGAGATGATCGAACTTAAACGCACTATTGCATCTAAATTACTCTGCGTATGGCCGAGATTTTCTTCGGAAAGATCGGGCTTTTAGCTGTTCAATGATATGTTCTTGATGCCAAATGGATAACAATTGGGCAAATACTAATCCGATATAAAAAGTTAGCCAGAATCACATATTTTCACCGTTGAGAGTTGGGTCCAAAACCATTGAAAATTAATCCCCTTTAGGACTTAAAGGATTAGTGTCAGGGTCATGCATTGCGGGCTTTTGTTATTGTTTACATTTTACTCAAATACAACAAATAGCGATAAAAATACCTTGTTTGGTACATTTCTGATACAAATCAGACAAAAAGCTGAGCAAGGATTATAAAAGGATGGTTTAAATACATGAAGGATTGTAAACACTTTCCAGATCATCTAATCTATTCGTCGCGAAAACCGGCCGCCAACAGGAGTTTGAGCCCACGAATTCCTGGTGATACTAATCCTTTAAGTTGACGAATTTCACTTGAATAAACTACGCACATATTCATAATTATTATTACGTAGGAATAAATCTTAACTAAGCTACGACAAGTTCGTGATTAATTAATATTGCTTTTTCTTTTGTTATGCACTGCTTTAATTAGGCACAGAGGTGAAAATATGCGATTCTGACTAACATTTTTATCGGACTCTTACTTGCTTATTTTTTTCTCTACTTGGCATGAAAAAAATGTCATTCAATAGGTAAAAGCCTGATCTTTCCGAATATGAAAAAAGTTTGTTCATACGCCCAGTAGATCACGTACAATAGCGCGCTGAAGTTCGCTTACCCTTTTTTCATACATCCTGTATAATACTAGTTTTGTTTTCGCAATTTTGAAAATTCGTGTCATAGCTAAACAAGAAGCAAATATTATTACACTGGCCGCAGCCAGTGTCATAGAATGCCCTTGCTGAAAATGCTGTCTTTTTCGGGGGGGGGGGGGGGTGAATAGGTCTTCAGATCGTCGGATTTCACAGAAAAAATTGTTCGGATTTCGGATCTGGCGAATATTTTACACGGTTTTGCGGATCTTATTAATACAGCGGATTGCGGATTTATCTAATATTTTGCCTCGGATTGTGGATTTAGCTTGCAATTTAGTTCGGATCCTGGATTGTGACTTCATAGTAAAGCTTTTAGCGGATTCAAATTTAGACAAGACCATTGTCGGATCGCGGATTTTGCTTCAAATTTGGGCGGATCGGCGGATTTGTATACCCCTATTCCCCCCCCCCTTTCGGTTTTGGTTGTCGCAAGTGGCAAGTGGTTGGGACTTTCCATTGCGGCATCGTGGGCTCAGGATTGCGCAATTTAGCTAAAACATGCTCACGCTAATTAGGACTAATTCTACACAAAGTTAAACAGAACGAATCTCGCATTTAACTACGTTACAAATCTTAGACGCTGTAATTGTGGGACGTATTTTATTATATTTCATTCCGCATGAGCTTGGATTTTCTGTGTTTTTCGATATGATATCGCTGAACTCTGTTGGTTTTGTATCGATTATTATTGTGCCGTCCTCTGAATGTTTGTGATCATGAAGTGACGGCCGTCAAGAAGTAACAAGAACATCTACATGTTTCAAATTATTTTTTAGAATATTGCAATGGTATTTTACCAACCGCGAGGCCAGTGTGAACGCCTGAGCAGGCGTCTTGTTGAAATAAGAATATGAAAAATTTTAATGAGGAACACTTGATTTATCATATCAAATCAACATTCTCAAACTCATTAATAATTCATGAGCAGAACATTGTCTTGATACGATGGTAATAAACGTCCATAAATTAACTCAACTTTCGCGTTGAATTTCTCGCTAAATACAAGTTTGTTTGAGAAGCAATATAATAACTCAAAGTGTTCCATACGCCGGTAATAAAGGCTTC